ATTCACTAGAAATGCACCAAGCGGAGTCACATTACAATGGCAGATGCAACGCAATCCTATTTCAGTAAGTGTTTTTAAATTTAGAGAAATATTCAGCTCTGCAATCTTTAATGAAACGCAATCCCGACATTTTAATTGAAAAAAAAAATTCAAAATACATGTATATGGAAACATAGCTGATTCATGTTAATCTCTTGCCTGAAGGAGACGAGGATTTTCACAAATTCAGGAACAGATCGAACATTGGACGTAGGACGCACCAACAAACATAGATGCCCTCACGAATAAAAAAGACATATTTGAATTCAATTGTCGTCAAGTCTCGGTATCAAGTTTTTATTCAGCTAGATATGATCTGAACATGATTAAAGAGAACATCACCTTCGAATGCACAAAACAAATTGCATCACGATGAGGAAAAATAAAATGTGCAATCAGCAACAACAAAAATTTCGTAAATTTGAAAATGCAGTTATCCATTTAAGATTAAGTGAATTGTAATTTTCTTTTCAAAAACAAAAAAAGTATCTTACTTTTAGTTTCTTTATGTCGGCAGATTAAGGCTGAATGACATTTTCAAGATCCAAAATTTCTTTTTAAGTTCTCTTCTGTCTGTTGTTGGACCTTGATTTTGCTTTCACTGCGTGAAAATTTGGCTTTACAAAACAAGTAAAGATAATGTAAATTTATTATTTACAATGCCTTTAATTGGCTTTTCTGAAAAAAGTCAAAGTTGGAAAAGGTAACCTTTACATTAACTTTACATGCACTTAAATATGATGTAATGTCCCACATTGTCTTGACTTTACAAAAAAGTAAAGTTAATATTTACAACCATTAAACACAGTATTTAGGATATATTAAATCTGATAATTAGAGACCTTAAATTTAATTAAATACCATCTTTAATAACCACAATCTGATAATTACAAACCTTAAATTTAATTAAATACCATCTTTGATAACCACAAAAGTTAATAATTTCCGTTTTCCATTCCAGTGAATGAAGCCTTATTCAAATTATGAATAAATTTTTTCTTCCAAATTGATAAGTTGCGGAAATGTAAACATCATAATAAATATACATATTAAGAAAAAGCTGATTTTAACTTTGTTTATTACAATACAAAACATTATTTTTTACAAACAAAAGATCAAAAGCATCAAGATTCTTGGCAGTATATGTTGCACACATCCTATCCTGCAAATTACATACATATCAAAGACAGAGTACATTTCACAAATATGTTTTTTTTTTTGTATGTGACATGTTTTATAATAAAACCAACTGTACATTCTTGAATTTAAAGTTGTGAATCAACATAAAACTATGTCCTCTTTCTTGTGGATATTGGATTTAGTGGAAATCAACAACTGTCAAAATGCTTTTGTCACACCTCCCTTTTCAGAGTTCAAAACTTTTCTCCCCATGCAGGCATTTTCCTAATGCCTTTCCTAAAAGAAAAAAAAAAGTATTTTTTTCAGTGCCATGCATAAATATGAATATTTTCAACGGCGTCTGTGTTATCAGAATTCACAATACCATGATTAATAAAAATAAAAACAAGGCATAACCTTACTGATAAATAAACAGTTCATACATGACCTTTAACCTCAAAAAGCAAAAAAATGTAAATTTATTAATTTAATAAGATGAGTGGAACTCTTGTTATTGCCATATTATATGAAGAATCAATGGATTATGTCATGTATCCCTTATCACAAAAATCCTATAAATTACAATTAGAGAAATATGTTTTTTTAACGGTACTACACAAAAACAAAGATCAAATCCCTGAAATATTGAGAAATCATAGGTTTCCTGACTACTCAGTTGTCAGTTTACAAAGAGAACAATATAGTGCTACATACCGTATAAGTAAAATTTTTATCGAGGATTTAATTTTGGCATTATTAGCGAGGGTGTTGAGATCACTAAAATTAAATATCGCTAAAAATTAATTGCGTTTTATTTGTTATAGTTTCTTAAATGTGCATTTTAAAGTCGCTAAAATAGCATTTCGCTAAAAACAAGCAAATTCAAAGAATTGTGGTCCCCCGCTTTCGGTGTCTTTGTCGGTGAGATGTTATTTTGTATGACATTTTGTGTAATATGAACATCCTATCATATGTCATTTATTTAGAAAGTTACATTGAAGTTGATTTTTTTTTGAAGGATGAAAACCCAAATACTGACCGTATTAAAAAGTTATGGCCAAAGTAAAAAGTTTTTTTTTTAAAAATAAGTCAACTCCAAGGTAAAGATCAAAGGGTCAAAGTTGTTGATATCCAATGCAAGATTTTCTCACAAGGATTACATATGTGAAGTATGAGAGCCCTAGTGCTAACCGTTCAAAAGTTATGGTCAAGGTTATAGTTTTTTCCATAAGTACGTAAATCTTTAAGGTCAAGGTCAAAAGGTCAAAGTTGTTGATATCCAATGAAAGGACTTGCCACAAAGAATACATATATGAAATATAAAAGTCATAGTATCTACCGTTCAAAAGTTGTGACCAAAGTTATAGTTTTTTTAAAAAGTAGTTAAAACTCCAATGTCAAGGTCAAAGGGTCAAAGATGTTGGTATCCAAAGAAAGGTCTTCTCAAAAGGATTACATATGTGAAGTTCTAAAGCCTTAGTCCTCACCGTTCAAAAGTTATAGTCAAGGTTAAAGTTTTTTTCATAAGTACGTAAATCTCCAAGTTCAAGGTCAAAAGGTCAAGGTTGTTGGTATCCAATGAAATGTTTTTCCACAAGAAATACATATGTGAAATAAAAAGATCCTAGTATCTACTGTTAAAAAGTTGTGCCCAAGGTAAAATTTTTTTTAAAAGTAGTTAAAACTCCAGGGTCAAGGTCAAAGGGTCAAAGTTCTAAGTATCCAATGAAAGGTCTTCTCACAAGGATTACATATGTGAAGTTCTAAAGCCTTAGTCCTCACCGTTCAAAAGTTTTGTTCAAGGTTAAAGTTTTTTCATAAGTACGTAATTCTCCAAGGTCAAGGTCAAAAGGTCAAGGTTGTTGTTATCCAATAAAAGGTCTTGCCACAAACAATATATATGTGAAATATGAAAGTCCTAGTGCCTACTATTCAAAAGTTATGGCCAAAGTAAAAGTTTGGAATTTTTGTGTAAAAGTGGGTCAAACTCCAAGGTCAAGGTCAAAAGGTCAAATTTGGTGACACCCAAAGAAAGGTCTTGTCACAAGGAATACACATGTGAAATATGAAAGTCATAGCTCCAGTAAATCAAAAGTTATGGGCAAGGTTAAAGTTTTTGTGACGGACAGACTGACAGACGGACAGACTGACGGACAGACGAATGAGATTTAATGTCCCCTCGCTTTCGCGAAAGCAGGGGACAATAAATTACCAGTTTTAAAGGACAAATCGTAAAATTTGCATCTCGCTAAAATTTCCACTTATACGGTATTTAGTTTAGCTGTACATGTATACAGAATGATACTGAAGTAATGGTTTAGGATATATATACCTTTTTCCCCAATCGCATGTTTCAGCTCATGAACTTTTTCCTGATATGGAACAGTAAAAGGACTTTAGGTGAGAGTCCTTCAAATTGAAGATGACAATCATGCTGAAATAGAATTCATACCGTGATTAACATTTTGTACATATGGACAAATATAGTCAATATTTTTACACCAAAATTATGAGTTTGAAGCAAACTGCTGCACTTGGTCACCAGAGAATGAATTGATTTTGAAAATTAATACACAGTGTAATCACAAATAATAGCTATGAATTGACAAACACCCTTATGTTATTTTTTATCAAGAATAATCTAAATTTAGTTCTAAACAATACTTGCCATTTATAATATGATAGTTGAGAACCCGCCTCTTCTTCATGACAGATCTTTTAATTTTCTCATGGTAGGCTGAGTAGCTTGAGAGGTAGGCTGAGTAGCTTGAGACTATACAAAGGAAATTGAACATTTTTTTTTTACAAATATATGACGATATTGACTCCCGAGCAAGTCAAGCACTAAATAATGTAAATGTTTGTTCAAGTAACAGATTTCATGAAATTTATTATTAAAATGTGCTTGTACCATAGAACACTGGGATCCTCAATCTGGGTAATCATGTTTTGTTGTCTTCTTCGCCCCGTCTTGATGTTTTCCCTTCAACAATCTGCATACTGAATTCACTATACCTGTGTTTTAAGAAAATGGACACAGTTTAAAATAAAAATGATATAAATAAAAATAAATAAACTCTCAAAGTTGAGAGTTTATGTATATAGGTGTAGTACTTTTCTTAAAACATTATTTTTCTTGCCTGATCAGAATCTTTATTAAAGCAACTTTTAGAGTGAAGTTAACATGGTTAATGTAGATACAAATTTTTAATAAATTATTTTACATTTTTCAATCCGGAAGACAAGCCCCTATGATTCATACACCTAGGCTTTACAGAATAAAGTGACGCACATAAACATTTAATACCCAAATTATCAAAAGTACTTATCTAATATACTAGCAGAAAATAACAAACAAAGCGTCGTTTTCCGTGACTTTGATTAGTTTCATTCTTTCACAACATGCATAATGTACTGATCTGAAAGTGAAAGTAAAAACGGCTGGAAATCGTAAACAAACCTTTAGAGCATGCCAACCCGGGAGTTCGAGCAGTTGTCAAGGCAAGAATCTTCTTAAATCTAGATGAAGTGTCAAAAAATTACCACTGGTTTCAAACTTTGTCAAAATAACGATGCAGACCCGCTCAACTTGATTTGAAATGATTGGCTATTCAACCGAATACACAGTGCCATATGTAATAATGGGTTATTTGTTATATTTTAAACTGTAAATAAATTAAATATGAAATAACTTAATAAACAAACTTACTGCTAAAAATAAATAATGAATTTAAACTTAAACTCCATTTGATAATTAAATTTATTAAACTTACTTCACACTGCATGGTAGCTAGTACTTATTTTAGATTTAGAGTTATGTTTTCCTAGTTAGAACTCTTTAGTTCATTCAGGTATTTTCAGGAGAACCAGTCTAGGTCAAGTATAGTCGATTGGCTATTCTTGTTATGGAGAGTTTTTATTGGTAGGTCATTGAGGTCAAATTCCTTAGTGAGTTTTCCTTTGTTATTTTAAATTCACTTTGAATCTAGCCATAAGCCAGAGCGCTAGCTTATTATACTATTGTCTGATTTACATAGTTTGATATATTTCTGTGACTGGACATTAGACCTGATTACAGTAAGTTCTTTATTTTCCTTTACTAACATTTTGAATGAATGAGTATGAATGAAATATAGTATTTGATGAGTTAATGAAAATGTGTAAAATCATATAGTAAATGGTTTAAATGAATAGATCTGTTTTTAAAGTTACACTGATATAAGAAATATGCTTTATGATGAGATCTGACCTTAAGGAATATGTAAATATTGTATATATTATAAGATTTAGTCAATACAACCATATGTTGTATAATATAGGTCAGATATAATGGTTTGGACGTGACGCCCTGATTTTTTAGAGGACAGCCTAGGTCCACAACTTGGTATTTAATTATATTATTACATATTTTTGAGAACTGTAAATATTTTTGGTAAATAAGATATAGATTTACTTGAGTTTATATGCATATGTGGAAATATGGTGAAATAAGAGTTATTTCCCTTTTGTAACATCCATGAAGTGATAATGAGTAAATTAATAGAAATATCAGTGTAATATAGATTTTATGCTAATGAAGTAATTTGTGATAAATGTATACTTATGTTAATGTTATGAAATATTTATTATGTTTACATGTTTTGTAGGGTTGTTTATCCATCTATATATTTATTGTCATCAATTAAAAGAACCCACATCCCGAACTGAGTTTTCATTTCAATTACTTGGGAAAACCCGGTTACAAAATTTGGCGCCCAACAATGGTGTTTGAATATCCCGCCGGAAGATGACGTCACAGCGCTTACCGGAAGATGCCGGAAGTTACCCTTCTTTATAAACATTAGGCCTCATGTCGCCTCATACAGTGTTGTGATTGTGTTATATAATTCATTGGACTGAAGTGGATGGTTCCATGGACATACAATGTAAGACTTCGCTACCAAACTACGTGTGGTAAGAAAGCAGAGACAAACATTGCAATATTGCATAAATATTTGACTTATTTATAACAATTGTTGACATATAAACCACGTGGTTATCCGAACAGCTGATTTTCCATTTTTAAGTAGTACTACGAACAGCTGATTGTAGTTGGTATTTGAGCGCTCACATTCACAATCATATTGTTTGTTATTTTGTTCTCAATTATTCCAGGCCTGTGTGTGTTTATTTAATACTCTATCATGTCTTTTTCATAGATTTTTTTTACAATGATATAAAATTAGAAGTTGGTGAAAGAGTGGAAGGAAGAATAGTAGATAAATAATACCTATTTTCTCCATTGACCTTGACCTTTACATTACAGAACAGGCAGTTGTACAGTTGTTGGTAAGCATTTCATTGGTTTAGCATTACTGTTGGTTTACATTTTCAGTTCTATTTTTTTTTGTATATTATTTAGGTTTATTGAAGTCTAGATAAGACTTGGTTAGTTTAGCAATTTAGTTTAGTTAGTTGATTACTAACCTCTGCACTTAATTTAATTTAAAAAAAAAAATTAAAAAGGTCTTAAATAAACAGATAAACAAGACAAACAAATAAATTAAACAAATAAACAGTAATAAAGCTGGTTTAAAAGAGTAAATCAATAAATTAAAATTAGATTCAATTGATTTAAAATAAATTAATTAAAAAAAAAAAATAAAGTTTATTAGAATTTCATATTCAGAATAAATTGTAAATCATGTAAAACAGGGTTATAAATAAAAGGTATAAATCAATTACAACAAATTAAAAAATAATAATAATAAAAAGATAATTAAAAGGGTAGACTCCAGGTATAGTCTGTCTGTCAAAAGCATTTGGTTGTGTGTCTGTCTGTGTTAGACTTGAAATCATGGTGTAAAATTTAGACAATTAAGTTTCCTTTCCGGGAAAACGAATTGTAATAACAGTTTGTTTTCATCACTGTTCAGCGGAACATTTGTCGCGTTTGTTTTCATTAAGTCGTGCGGTTTCCTTTGAATTTGACGCGCAAAATTTTTTTTTTTTACTGTGCATATATATTTTTTTTTCCATCTTCATGAAATCTTGTGAATGAATGCATTCAGTTTCCGGAATTTATTTGCACTACTGTCTGTCATAAATATATTCAACCTGTTTATTGCAAACAAAGAAATTACAACCATGTTTCAAGAAAAAAGGAAGTTGATTCTATGACAAAAACATTCACGGATCTTGGTCTACAACCAAAAGCAGGAACACCAGAGGAATTTAAGAAATGGCTATTTGACTACGCAACAGCAGTGAAACCGAAAGTGAAATCTGAAGTATCAACACATGGTGCAACTAGTGCAGAAGCAACACCTCATCATTATGCCTTAGAAAAATTTCCAAGATTACCTTCATTCAGTGGACAAAAAGGAGAAACAAACTTTGATATATGGAAATACGAAGTCCAGTGTTTACAGAAAGAAAACTATTCAGATTCTGTAATTAACCAAGCCATAAGGAGATCGGTCAAGGGGGAAGCTGCTCGAACTGTTATGGTTTTAGGACCTGATGCAAACATTTCGGATATTTTGACGAAATTCGAAAGTGTTTATGGGACTATTCATAGCAAAGCTACAGTACTTTCCAAATTCTACAGTGCTAGACAGCAGGAGGATGAAAGTGTAGCTGCATGGGGCTGTAGATTAGAGGACCTTTTGAATCAAGTTATAATTCAAGGACTCGTACAAGCTTCAGCAAGGAATGAAATGTTGAAAAACATGTTCCATGAAGGACTCAAAGCAGAATTAAAGGATGCTACCGGATTTATGTTTGACAAAATCCCAAACTTTGATGAATTAAGACATGAAATTAGGATTAAGGAAGAAGAGCTGAATCTGAGAAAGAGATCAAGGAAAACCGAGAGAACACAGGCTATTGCTACAAGTGATGATTTTCAAGAGATTAAAGCAATGATCCAAAATCTAAACAGAAATGAAAAGAAAAGTTTACTCAGCTGATAATGACCAAGGATACCAACAACAGAGGTCAAGTCAATATGCATCACAACGTTTTAGGGGAGCTAGGAACAGTGTTCAACCAACAACTTACAACACAATGAGGCCACCACAAGACACTTTTCAAAGAGGCCCTGTAGTTTGTTATCGTTGTGGGCAAGAAGGACATGTCAAGTGTGGATGTCGTGTACTCTTAGACCATAACAGGAGATCTTTAAACATGAGGAGGCCTATGGCGCGACGCGGCAGATAGGTCTGATTAATCAACAACGTCATAATTTGGTAGGAGAGCCATGGATTTTGATTAGGATTGAAGATGTGGAAACGCATGCACTTTTGGACACTGGTTCAACAGTTTCTACCATGGCACAAAGTTTTTATGAGGAACATTTTGCTGATAGACCTATTCAGAACATAGAGGAATTATTTGAATTGAAATGTGCAGATGGCAGTATTTTACCATACCGAGGATGCATCGAGGTGAAATTACATGCAGAAGGCTTAGGAGATGGGAAACAACATAAGGGACTTTTCCTGATTGTTGATGACACGGATTATCATTCGTCAGTGCCAATTCTTCTTGGAACGAACGTTCTTAAGGCCTTGATAGAAGATGCTAAAGCAGAACTTGGTGAAAGATTTCTACAGCGAGCAAAACTCCAGACAAATTGGTATCTCACATTTAGATGCATTAGTTTGAGGGAGAGATTCTTAAGGAAACAGGATCAAAGACTTGCTGTTATAAGATCTGCTCACAGGGAACCTGTTATCATTCCACCCAACACTACGGTGAATATTGAAGGGTTTATGGACAAGAGGTTTCCATATAACAACACCAGTGCCATTATACAGCCGATCAACAATTCAAGAACAATAGCAGATCTAGATGTTACACCAACTGCCATCATCTATGATTACCAAAGCAGAGACTCACTACCAATCATAATAAGCAACATCACAACGCAGACAATTAAAATTCCTCCTCGGACAATAATAGCGGAAATTCAGCCAGTTACCATTGAAAGATTAGATGAAAATGAAGAGGAAAAGAAAGAAGCATTACAGAATATAGATACTTTGAATATATCAACAGGAAATTTGACGAAGGAACAGTATGAGGAAGTGCGGAACTTACTTGCCAGAAACAAAGACATCTTTGCATGGAGTCCAACTGATATCGGATGCGTTACGACGGTCAAGCATAACATCGAGCTGACTGATGATACACCATTTAAACAGCGAGCCAGAAAGATTCCACCAGCTATGTTTAAAGAAGTTCGAGATCACCTGACACAACTTTTAGATGCAGGCATAATACGACCATCGAAATCCCCATTCTCTAGTAACATCGTATTAGTTAGGAAGAAGAACAACGAGCTGAGAATGTGCGTGGATTACCGGAAGTTAAACAGCATTACTAAGAAGGATGCATATGCCTTGCCTAGGATCGAGGAAATTTTGGAAAACTTAGCTGGAAATAGATACTTTACAGTGCTTGATGCCAAGTCAGGGTACCACCAAGTAGAGATTAGAGAGGATCACAAGGAAAAGACAGCTTTTACTGTAGGTGCTTTAGGGTTTTATGAATTCAACAGAATGCCTTTCGGCTTGTCCAATGCACCCGCCACCTACCAGAGGTTGATGGAAGAGTGTTTGGGAGATCTGCACTTAAATATCTGCTTCATTTTCTTGGATGACCTTATCATTTTCTCAAAGACACTAGAGGAACATCTGGAAAGATTACAGCTTGTGTTCAACAAACTTTAACAAGCAGGATTGAAACTTTCCCCTAAGAAATGCAGCTTTTGTCAAGAGAGGGTTAAATACGTCGGCCATATTGTATCCGAAAAGGGAATTGAAACAGATCCTGAGAAAACAGAAAAAGTACTCAACTGGCCAAAACCGAAAACACCAGAAGAAGTTAGGAGATTTATAGGTTTTATTGGATATTATCGACGATTCATCCCAGATTTCAGTAAATTGTCAAGACCATTAACATCATTATTTCCAAGTCCAACCAGGAAAAAGGGTAAAACAACACAGCAGAAATGGAAATGGGGAGAAGAAGAAGAAAATGCATTTGAGAAACTGAAACAACATCTAGCCAAGCCACCAGTTCTTGGATTTCCAAACTTCCAGGAACCTTTTGAGCTACATGTTGATGCGAGTCATCAGGGATTAGGAGCTGTTTTATATCAACAACAAGGTAAGTACAAAAGAGTCATCAGTTATGCCAGTAGAAGTTTAAGCAGATCAGAGAAGAACTACCCAGCACACAAGTTGGAGTTTCTTGGATTAAAATGGGCAGTAACAGAGAAATTCCATGATTATTTATATGGACGCAAAACAACAGTATATACAGACAACAATCCGCTTACCTATGTTTTGACGTCAGCAAAGTTGGATTCAACAGGGCACAGATGGCTGGCAGCTCTATCGAACTTTGACTTGGAAATTATTTACAGACCAGGTAGGAACAACTCTGACGCAGACGGACTGTCTAGACTGACTGACAAAACAGACTCATCAGGTATGAGTATAATAATACCTAGTACAGTCAAAGCCATTTGCCAGACCATCCAGAAACAGCCGTATATTGAGAGCCTGGTAATAGATAACAACCTGCAAGAATTTGACGACACAGAAGTACCAAAAGTTTTTGACCATCAGATGAATTGGGCCAAATTACAAGATGAAGATGAGACTCTGAAAGTTTGGAAAAAATATGTAAGGAGTGGAAAGAGACCAAGAGCAGGAGAATTATCACAGAAACTTATGCCTCATGTTTTGTTTAGAAATTTTGACCATCTCTTCATTGACAACAACATTTTGTATAAAGAGACCAAGATTGATGATGAAGTTAAACATCTCCTTGTAATTCCAGTCCAACAAACCAGTTTCATTCTTAAGGAGATTCACAACAGACTAGGACATCCAGGAAGAGACAGAACAGTTTCATTGTTGAAAGATAGATTCTTCTGGCCAGGAATGCTGCAAGATGTAGAAGACTGGTTGAAGTCATGCAGCAGATGTGTACAGAGAAAATCTCAGACGAATCAAAGAGCACCACTAGTTAATATCACCACCACCTATCCATTAGAGCTAGTGTGCATGGATTATCTCACGTTAGAACAATCAACAGGAGGCTACCAACATATTCTCGTCATAACCGATCATTTTACCCGTTACGTTCAAGCAGTCCCTACCAGAAATATGACAGCGAAGACAACAGCAGAAGCTTTATTTAGAAATTTCATTAATCATTATGGATTTCCTTTCAGACTTCATTCGGATCAGGGGGCAAATTTTACAGGTAAGATTATTAATGAACTTTGCAAAATTTCAGGTATTCAGAAGTCCAGAACGACACCGTACCATCCCATGGATTATTTAAATTTAATCCCACACAAATCAGAGTTTAGGGCAACGGTATGACAGAGCGTTTTAACAGAACCCTTTTTGACATGCTTGGTACTTTAGAACCACATCAGAAAAAGAAATGGAAAGAGTTTGTTGCACCTCTTGTTCATGCGTATAATTCGACACGACATGAAAGTACTGGACAGACTCCGTATTTTCTCATGTTTGGAAGACACCCCAGACTACCTATTGATCTGGCATTCGACATTAACCAGAAGGACTATGGGAACCTTAACAGTTATGTCAAGAATCTTAGAGAACGAATGAAAGAGGCCTATAAGATTGCCAAGGAATCAGCAGACAAAGCCAGACATAAGCAGAAGAAAGGGTATGATTTAAGATCTAGAGCATCAAACATACAGGTAGGAGATAGAGTCTTAGTGAAGATAGTTTCTTTTGACGGAAAGCATAAGATAGCAGACAGGTGGGAAGAGCAACCATATATTGTGAAAGAACAACCTAACAGAGATATACCAGTTTATGTAGTTGAGAAAGAAAATGGAAAAGACAAACAGAGGGTGTTACACAGGAATTTATTGTTACCAATAGGGTACTTAGACAATGATTCTGACAATCATCCACAAACCATACAACGACCAAAGCCGAGACCAAGACCAATACCTACACCAAGGTCAAGACAGAAAAAACAGATACCAAAGGAAGATGCAGAGAGTGACTCAGAGAGTGAGATTTCATACCAGCTGGTAAGACTTCCTAATAATGTTGAAACCAACATTACTACGGATGGAGGTACGCAAGAGATAGTTGAGACAAATGAGCTGCCACTGGGAGAGACTGAGGAATCCGGACCTCAGGGGGAGGTATCAGAAGAATCTGACACTCCACCAGTCGCAGAGGATGATGATCATGTGCAACAACATGATGAAGATGTTAGCGAAGAAGCTGCTGCTGCCGCTTATGATGATGATGATGATGATGATGACACAGTAGAACCAGTTACTCTCAGAAGAAGTACAAGAGAACGACAAAAACCAAAGTATCTGTCAGATTACCAATGCCAAACCATAAATCAAGATTGGAAGGATAAGGTAATTATGATACAGAATCTTATGGCAATGTCAGACAAGAGGTATGAAAGTGTTTTTATCAATTTGATTGCTGATATCATGAAGACATAAATGCAATCATTATTTTAATCATGTTTTTAAATTTCAGAACGAAATGACGGGGACGTCAATTTTTTCAACAGGGGGGAGTTTGTAATAATGGGTTATTTGTTATATTTCAAACTGTAAATAAATTAAATATGAAATAACTTAATAAACAAACTTACTGCTAAAAATAAATAATGAATTTAAACTTAAACTCCATTTGATAAATAAATTTATTAAACTTACTTCACACTGCATGGTAGCTAGTACTTATTTTAGATTTAGAGTTATGTTTTCCTAGTTAGAACTCTTTAGTTCATTCAGGTATTTTCAGGAGAACCAGTCTAGGTCAAGTATAGTCGATTGGCTATTCTTGTTATGGAGAGTTTTTATTGGTAGGTCATTGAGGTCAAATTCCTTAGTGAGTTTTCCTTTGTTATTTTAAATTCACTTTGAATCTAGCCATAAGCCAGAGCGCTAGCTTATTATACTATTGTCTGATTTACATAGTTTGATATATTTCTGTGACTGGACATTAGACCTGATTACAGTAAGTTCTTTATTTTCCTTTACTAACATTTTGAATGAATGAGTATGAATGAAATATAGTATTTGATGAGTTAATGAAAATGTGTAAAATCATATAGTAAATGGTTTAAATGAATAGATCTGTTTTTAAAGTTACACTGATATAAGAAATATGCTTTATGATGAGATCTGACCTTAAGGAATATGTAAATATTGTATATATTATAAGATTTAGTCAATACAACCATATGTTGTATAATATAGGTCAGATATAATGGTTTGGACGTGACGCCCTGATTTATTAGAGGACAGCCTAGGTCCACAACTTGGTATTTAATTATATTATTACATATTTTTGAGAACTGTAAATATTTTTGGTAAATAAGATATAGATTTACTTGAGTTTATATGCATATGTGGAAATATGGTGAAATAAGAGTTATTTCACTTTTGTAACATCCATGAAGTGATAATGAGTAAATTAATAGAAATATCAGTGTAATATAGATTTTATGCTAATGAAGTAATTTGTGATAAATGTATACTTATGTTAATGTTATGAAATATTTATTATGTTTACATGTTTTGTAGGGTTGTTTATCCATCTATATATTTATTGTCATCAATTAAAAGAACCCACATCCCGAACTGAGTTTTCATTTCAATTACTTGGGAAAACCCGGTTACACATATTTGGGTTACTGTTCAGAGTAGATCGTTCGTTTTACATTCGAGAAGAGTTCACATATTACTTGAATGAAGAGGATAACATAATACTGAGCTGAAAATTGTGTGTAAAGTATGTTTTAAGTGTAGTTTACAATACAGGCTGTAAATGTGCTGGAGATTGTATTGATGTTGAAGCTTGTAAACAAACCAATAAACGTAGGACTTATTCACGGCAATGTATGGGAACCAGAGCAGGGAACCAGTCTAGAAGGCAAAGAAAATTCCGCCAAGTAAACAACAAAGAAAGGGATTTGGGATGTTGTCAGTTGTATACATTATGTGGGCCGGTGACTGCAAGGTAATACATGTGTCTTATTTGTTAAGCATAATTCGTTTCATTTTATTATGGAAATTTATCCGTCCCAACCAGTGGCGTAGCATCGTTTTTGAAAGCGGGGGGGGGGGGGGGGGGGCAGAGAAATTTTTTTTACTTACCTAAAAAAGTTGACAAGCAAAGAAAAAAAAAGGTTAAGGTTGCCCAAAGTCGAAAATCCTATTTCGTGGTGGTGGTGGTGGTGGGGGGGGGGGGTAGGTAAACTTTTTCTCAGTGACAACAAACAATCATGCTTTGAATTAACACTTCCTATAGTGTAAGTTAGGTTTGGAAAAAAAGTGGGGTGGCCAGGCCCCCCCCCCCCCACTGGCCCCCACGGATACTACGCCCCTGCCAACACTGGCAGGAATAGATAAGATAAGATAGATAAGATATGTTTTATTACTAATTCAGTGCCCAAATGAGCATAAAGAGTACAAACTTACAAGAGAAAGGCCTAATATATAGTTGATAGAAAAAAGGAAACAAAACAAAACATTTAGACATACATGATTAACCTATACAAACATGTACATAAAATAGACATATGACTTTTCAATGTATACATATATATCATATTGTGGAATGAGGCATTAGTATTTAGGCCTAATGGCAATAATTAATGTACATGCATTTTTGAGTTTATGATGTTTATAAGACAGATAGATAAAAAAATAAAAAATGCAAAGTACATTAGTAGTAGAGACTGAAGTACACATGAATTGAATAATTATGTATATCCTAACATTTTTACTTTTATCATTTTTTAATGAGATTTTTTCTCTTCATAAAAGATTTGGATAAAAAGTCACATAGTTTAAATAATATACTGTGATCTTCATTTGCCATAATCCATAAAATTTTTTGATTGTTGGACAGGGTGTTGAAATTTTTATAATTGTCACTTAAAAAGTTAAATAAAACTTTCCTTTCTTCATTATATAAAGAACAATTTGTAAGGAAATGGATTTCATCTTCAATACAATTTGAATTACAAAGAGTACATGTCCGTTGACTTCTTTCTAGAGGGATCTTTTTCCCATTAATATCTTTTGTATATTCTTATCTACCACGTTCAATTCTTAGTTCATGTGCACTTATTCTGAATTTACACAGTATTTTCCTCTGTTCAAAAGACTTTAAAGATAATAAATATTTCTCAATGGCAAAAGTATTCTTCAACAAAAAATATTTATCAAGTTTACCATGAATTTGACCCTCATCATGTATTTTAAGCCAATATTGGTAAAAATGCTTTTTGATAAGTTTTTTCAGTAGTCCTTTAAATGTGGTCATATTTAACTGTTTACAAATGGGTAAATTAAGGTCTAGTTTTTTACATAAAAATTTGACAGTGTCATACCAGTTATTGATGTCAGACTGACTAAGATTTTTGCACTCTTTATATGCACAATATAGTAAAGATGATTCCGACATATTTTCTAATCTATGCCAATAAGATAGTAAACTAATAATGATGGAACAAAACATGGGTAATCTGCCAAGTTCAGATAGAATAGCAATATTTGTACTCTTTTTACCAACACCAAGAATAAATTTACAAAATTTGATATTCAATTTCTCTGCATCCCAATCTTTGTATATAGTGTAAATGTCTTTGTTTTTTTCAATGTTACATTTAGATAACATGCCCCAACCTTCACAGCTGTATAATGATATTGGTTTGATTAGATGGTCAAAGAGGTGTAGCTGAGTTTTTATAGATGGTTCTGATGATTTCAAATCTTTGTGCACTTTGATGGAGGCTTTCAAAGCTTTTTTAAATAATGTTTCTTTTGCTTCTTTAAAGGAGCCGGATGAACATGAACATGAAATATAACTAATCTGACTTCAAAATTCCTTGCTCTGTTCCCCCCAGTACATGTAACACTTCGCTTTCATTTTTTTTTTAATTTTCATTGTATACTTTTTTTTTAGAAGCAAGGAATGTGGAGCTAATGCATGCTGCTAAGGATGGAAAGGTCTTGTGTTTATTGGTTGTTCCTGAGACACCAGTCACAGTTGTACCTTATTTCCATTTTAGGTAATGTCTTTTGAGTTTTTTTAAGTAGATGGAACAATGCATTTTTTCATTCAATATAAAGCTTTGCTCTCATTTTAAAAAAAATTTTCATTGTATATTTTTGTAGAAGCAAGGAATGTGGAGATAATGCATGCTGCTAAGGATGGAAAGGTCTTGTGTTTATTGGTTGTGCCTGAGACACCAGTCACAGTTGTACCTTATTTCCATTTTAGGTAATGTCTTTTGAGTTTTTTTATGTAGAGGGAACAATGCATTTTTCATTCAATATAAATGTAAAATTATAGAGATAACTTTTTTTTCAACATTGTTGGATACTCACTACATGATTTTATCTAAAGAAAAGTATTTAAATATTTCCTCACATTTTTTAAAGAGGCCAGGTATGGTGAAGAGATAATTCATTTTTTATTCAATATCTTATTTTCCATGCATTTGTACAGGGAGTCTATACAACATGTATACACTTGAGAGGTGAGCGTCAGATTTAATTTTGAAGATGGATGACTTTCAGATGTTGTGATGAAGATTGTTGAAAGAGATTATCAACATAGAACCAATCCATATGAATGTGCAAGTCAGGTGAGGATTGGACTTCAACATTTAATCATGAGATGTTTATATACTGCTAAGCTTAGTGAAAGCACACCATAAACATTTTAAGTATCTCGGTAAGTTTCATGGATATTACAGATGTATCACTATCATATGTTTGACATTGAGTTGCTTTGTCTAAATTTCCATTATGTTTAGTTATACATGTTTTAAGTTACTTAAGTATGTCTTCAAAAGCTTGTGCTTTAATTTCAATAGAAGTAATGAAAACCTATTTAAAAATTGTATTGTTTTTCTTTATAATTTTGAAAATTATTATTATTAGGACTTTTACAACACCTGAGTACCCAGATGACTGTTGAACTAATTGGTGAACAAGAAAAGATGTCAGAGAGGGGAATCCAATACAGATGTCATGATCAAGAAAATGTACTGTTATCAATGATATGATCAAGAATTTGTAAACTTGTAGCGATTTAGAATATCTTATCTGTAATATAACTCTTCAATACTTAATTGTTCACACATTATCATCTTATCTATATATGAATCGCCCCCTCTTATATAACCCCCTGCTTATCATAATGACCTGTGTATTGATTCCTGATCTTAAGGATCTTATAATTTGCTCCTGATTGTCAGGAGCGGATCTTGAGTACATGTATATATATATAGTGCGACAGAATTTTAGAATATGATAGGAAGATGGAAATATAGAAGACTTAGTAGATAGAACTGTTAGAGATAGATAAAGTTACTTACTTACTTGGAATATTACCTAATATTTCTTGGATTTATATGTACATATCATTATTTAACTTGGATTTTATTTTTAGTGAATTATTTTTCCTGAATGTTTCTACTTGTGATGTGCTGTGTAAATAAACTGTAGACTAGAATTTCGGCATCTATTTTCAAGATATGAGGAACAATGATAAATTGATTTATTCATGCAAACTGACATTATGAAATGTGTTATAAGACTGCCCGATTCGGCGCTACAAACTAACAGTAAACTAGGAAATATCTTGGAGATTTATAGATGAACATGAAAGCATTCATGGTTTTAAATGTTATTCATTCAGAGTTTTTGCACAAATTCAATTTTCAGTACAGTTATTTAAACTGGGTGTGTGATTTTCAGTACAGTTATGTAAAATGAATATGTTACATGTACTTATTTTGATTGTCAGTTTCTCAACAGGACATAATTGTAATTTATTTATTTGCAGAACAAAACACACAGAACTTTTTTTTCTCTTTGTGCATCATACACGTTTTACACCATCTTGGTTACATATTTTACATTTATGACGTGTAAATCGAGCAAACACTGAAAATACGTGAAGCTGGATACATATGCAAACATGCATCTACCATAACCTATTACATATTTTCCAAGGTGTGTGAAGTCGAGCACATACATGAAAATGTGTGAAGCTGGACACATACACAAATACACATGCATCTGCCACAACCTATTACATATTTTCCAAAGCGTGTGAAGTCGAGCACATACATGAAAATGTGTGAAGCTGGACACATATGCAAACACACAAGCATCTACCACAGCCTATTACATATTTTCCAAGGCGTGTGAAGTCGAGCACATACATGAAAATGTGTGAAGCTGGACACATATGCAAACACACCAACATTTACCACAGACATAAAAACATAGTCTAAACTAAATCAGGCACAGACAGGCACACGGGGTGAAGCTGGACTCGTACATGATCTCATGCATTTTGCAAACTGCATCCCCGCATCTATTCTAATAGATTTTTCACCATATTTTGTGTTTGTGAATATGTAAAATGTATCATTTTGCTTTACAAGTTGAAGATGTTATTAGCCTGTGTATAATAATCGCAAATCAAATAGCCTTTTATGTAATTTTTTCCACATTTTTAATTCAATTTAAACTGCAAAGTTTATTTTATATATGTACATGCACCATAAAGAATAAATATTGAACCAGTATTATATTTTAAAGTGAAATGGGACCTCCATTTCATAAGCAGAAATGTGAAATTTATACTTGTCATCTGTATTTCTTTTTTTCATTTTTTTCTCACATGTATCTGAATGTTTAAAGGAAAACAAAAGTCTAAGATAGCTCAATATAATGTTTATATTCAAGGTTACAACTGGATATTGTTTGTGCTGTATATCTGACTCATCATATTATGAGAAGCAAAAATACAGAATATTTTAGATCATTTTTGATTGGAAAAAGAAAAATATCAGTATGCCAATTTTTCCCATTGTTATATTTTTAATTACTTTATCATTAATATCAATGTACATACATGTATTAAAAATCTATGCCATCCAATTCAGAGAGTTGTAGGCAATCCTGGTGCAGATAATATTTTTTTCCTGTGTTTTGAGTATAGTGGGAATACATTGTATGCGAGGAATGATTATTAATGGTTTTGGTTGTATAATTGGCGTGGCCAAAGGAAAGCCAATGAGAAATATTCAGTAATATGTTCATATCACTCTAAGCCAGTGCTCTTCAATACACACACATTTTTTTTTTGCTTTATATATATCATATTTGTATAAATATACTGGTAATGGAAATAACAAAACTGTTCAAATGTATTTTAATTTTGATTTTTTCATACATGCAAATATTATAGGATGTTTGTGCATTTTTAACTATTGCACCGAATGCACGTCCGGCATTCTCCTTTGAGACATTATTTACATAGCGACGGACACAGATTTTCCATAGTTAACCATCTATGGTTTTTGCCTGGGCGGTTTTTAATGTCAGTGATAGGGATACAATTTATTAAATGTAAAATATTTTGCAAATGCATTGCAGTGCTTTATTGTTTCACATTCAATGTAATGTATGTTAAATATTTATGTTTTGTTACATGTATCAAAATAAACGCCAGCTGCCCCAACTAAGCTAACCTGGCTTACATCATAGGTGTTGTATTATTTGAGGTGTAGTCTGTCAAATAATGATGAGTCGAGTGTTGGAATCTGTAGATGACTATTTCTAATACTAATTTCAACTGGAAATGGATACAAGATAATTAAAAAAATATATGATATTTATCTTAAAATTCTAGGTACTGACTAGATTAGATTCTTTAAACTAACTGTGAAAATCCAAAGAATAAGTGTATCAAACAATAGTCAGCATTCAAATAAGACTTTTATAAAATATGTATATTTAATGAACTTTAATATGGCATTAAAGGTGAAAGGTTATATTTAATTATCTTTTCATGTAAGTAAAGGTTACCTTTTCACCTTTACTTTTTGTAAAGTTAATACAAAGATGACCTTGCTTTTTGGAGCACCTTTAATGAAATTTACTTCACAAGTAAAGTTTTGTAAAGGTGTTTTTTCAAGCAGTGTTTCTAGCACATCTCTGTGGTTAGGATGGATATCCTTCGTTTCACTCTGATCTGACACAGGGCTTCCTTCTTTGATGACACACAAAATTAAAACAATAATTAATTTGCTAAATTTTGAAAACTGCAACAATAAAGAAATCATTTAAATCGAGGTGGAAGAATACAATGTTCGTGTTTTCATGAGTTCATTCGCAGTTGGACATCAAATGACGAATTGTAATATTTTACAAGTCAATCGAAGACATTTCAATGGGGGCGAGAAGATGGTTTTCCGGTGTTTAATTTATGGATTTCAAATTGTAATTTATGTGACAGAGCTCTATGACGGGTCCGGAGTTTTGCAGATAACCAGTGGCCGGGGTGAATCCGTCACCAGGTGCAGTCAGAACGACAGACGGGGAGGCAGGAGAGCCAGTCCCTATACTCTCCCCCTAGCCATAGAGCCCCTACCACTGCCACCAGCAAGCCCATCTTCACAACCATCCCTCGATGACAGACTAAATATCAAGTTTGGTATTTCGCCTCCAGCCTTTCCCGGACGGGGACCTTTCATTACACCGCCATCATAACCACCCCCTCCACCGTCGATATCTCCGCTCCCACCAACATCACCAACTAGGTACCTGTTCTCTCGTCACCTATCATTAATGGTGGTGTGGGGACGGAGAACATTAAGCAACGCAACGTTTGCTGGTACGAGGATGTGACGACGTATTACCTCATACAACATCTGTCAACAATGCAGGAATTGGCCAGCTTGTGGAAGGTAAATTCAATTTGCAGATTTTTCCCCCCTTTTTTTTATTTAGTTTAATTTTTAAGGTCTTCCGTTTCAGACGGAAGACCTTATAGTGATTCTACTGTTTTTTCTTATTATTATTCTTATTATTATTTTTTTCCCCAAATCTTGTCGGCAGGATTTCTCAGAGATGGCTGGACGGATTTTCCTGAAATTTTCAGGGATGATGGAGAATGAAAATACCCCGAGACGTTTTTTTCATTTTCTCAAAATTCACTTCCGGTCGCCAGATATGTCCGATTTCCGCTTTTTAAAAAAATATTTAATCCGAGTGAGATCTCAGAAACGGTAAGAGATTAAGGCACCAAACTTACAGGGATGATAGATCTTGATAAGTAGGCAAATCCAATTGGGTTAAGATCGTCCGCCGTCACTTCCGGTCGTCACAGGAAGTGTTTTTAAATATCGAAAATTTCAACTTTTCTTTTTATGCGCCCGGATCGATAGATCCCGGGCGTATATTGTTTTTGTCCTGTCTGTTTGTCTGTTTATCTGTTTGTCTGTTTATCTGTTTGTCTGTTGTCAACTTTAACCTTGGCCATAACTTTTGAACAATAACAGATAGAGACTTTATATTTGGTATGCATACTCCAATATTAAAGTCCTTTCAAATGACATCAAGGTCAATGACCTTGTGACCTTGATTGTGACCTATATGCTAAAAATAGCTTTTCCCACTATTTGTCATAACTTTTTAACCATAGGAGATAGGGACTTGATATTTGGTATGCATACTCCTCTAATAAAGCCCATTCAGTTGACAACAAGGTCAATGATCTTGTGACCTTGACTGTGACCTATATGCTAAAAATAGCTTTTTACACTTTTTGCCATAACTTTTGAACCATAGGAGATAGGAACCTCATATTTGGGATGCATACTCCACTGATTAAGATCTTTCAAATGACACCATGTTCAATGATTTTGTGACCTTGACCTTGACCTAGATGCTAAAAATAGCTTTTTACACTTTTTGCCATAACTTTTTAACCATAGGAGATAGTAACTTCATATTTAGGATGCATCCTCCACTGATTAAATTCTTTCAAATGACACCATGGTCAATGACCTTGACTATGACCTATATGCTAAAAATAGCTTTTACACTTTTTGCCATAACTTTTAAACCCATAGTAGATAGGGACTTCATATCTGGGATGCATACTCCACTGATTAAGTTCATTCAAATGACACCACGGTCAGTGACCTTGTGACCTTGACTGTGACCAATATGCTAAAAATAAATTTTTTGAACTTTGTTTCCGCCGGGCGCATAGTGCTTCACAAACACATCTTGTTTGAAAGTTTTTTAGCATCAGATTATAGCATCTTACTCGTAGTTTCGAAATAGGTCAGTCCCACCGGAAACAAAAACGACAACTTCCGGTTATTAGAGAAAAACTGCATATTTTCAGTATTTTTCTTTCCCATAAATATTTTTTATAGATGAAGTTTTCGAAATGATTTTTAGAAGTGTTATTCAGACTGCAAATGACTACAGTAACGTCAAATATCATTGGAAAATTCACTTCCGGTCGCGTGATTTCCTGTCCTCAAAATGAATAGTTCTTAAAGCTATATCTCTGAAACGGTAAGAGATGTAGACACCAAACTTTTAGGAGTATTATATCTTGACGAAAAGGGAAAAACATTTGGGTTAAGATTGTCCGCCGTCACTTCCGGTCGTCACAGGAAGTGGTCAAAATATCGGAAATTTCATCTTTTCTTTTGTGGAACATTTATTGCATCACATTAAAGTGCTATTTTTGTAGTTTCAAAATATATCAGCTCCACCG